AGCATGCCATTAAAATACAGTATGAGTGTCTCGTTTTTCTAACATATGGGGCTCGGAAACCATCAGAGATGCTGCAGCGACTGTCACACATATAAAAACGACGTTGATCAAATTGAGTGATATTTTATTAAATTAAAACTCATCTTTAAAAAAACAAAACAAACCAGATTTTTGTCTTTTAGTTAGACAAATTTGACATGACACCCTACAGGCAATCAGCCTGAGAGCTCGTGTGTGAGGTTGGGGCAAACCAGGACAGTAGCAGCTTCCCTGAGGAGTTGTTTGCTGAACACACACGAGGAGAGAACACGGACGATGGTGTTTACGATTTGACCTGATTTATAAAAACCCTCTGAAATTTGTTTCAGCTCCAGATGTCTGTTAACAGACCAGGACAGCAATGAAATCTCCTAGACAAATGTACGTTCAGTCACAGTATCCACTGGTGGTTTTGGGCCAGCAGTGACATTCTGCAAGAGATATTATGTATTCTAGGGGGAAAAGCTAAAAATGTTTGGTAGAAAAGTGCAAGAAAAGAAGACTTTAAAGAAATTATAAATCCTAGAGCAATATAGACTTCCTACAAATAATAGAGTTAAAATAAATTATTAAGACTAGTTTCTGAATTGTCTTGAGTGCTTTTCATTTCTGTCAGCTTTGTCTTCAGTGGATTTGAAGTCTTTTGTGTTTTGTTACTCGTCCCGAAAGCACTATATAAATAAATGTCACTTATTTGCTAGTATTAAAGGTATTAAAGGAGAATGCAAAGTAAACAACTCTTCTTTGTATGTTTATTTCAGTATAAATCCCTAAAGGTGTAGCACTTTTGCAGCCAAGAGTCTTAAAAGATTCAATGTAAACAAGTGTAGAGATCAAAATATCATCTTCAGAGAAGCTGAATGTCTCTCTCTTGATATATCCAACAAATCACAGAATCACCAATGACTTTATGCTGTGATAGGAAACAGCTGTTGACTCTCCAGCCCTCCAGGTGGTTTACTTCACCTGGTCTCCACCTCTCAACTGACAAACACTTGTGATGGTGGTTAGTCATTCTGACCTGAGGAGAAGAGAGGAGACTGAACCTCATGTCTAATTCATGTCTGATACCTCATTCATTTACAGCTTACTGACAGCTGTTCATTTTTTTTCTGCTGCAGTTCTCACTTTGAAAAAAAGTTTATGTATGCTTAGCCAGTAATGACCTAATTCAAGTGGGAAAATGCATCAGGCAATAGCTAGAGGCCACTCTCATAATAATACAGATACATACATAGAATGTTGTAAATATAAGTGAAAAGATTGGTACCTCAGTTCTTAACACATGTGTGAAAGCCACTTATAGACAATTGATAGACTGATTGCAGTTTTTCTGTCTTGTATTGTCTCCGTTACATATTTTTTGCAATGGATGGTTCATGGTTTTAGGCAGTATGGTAGTGCAAAATTTAGCACTGTCACTATACAGCAACAAGGTTCCTCTTTGAACTTTCTAGTCAACTTGGGCCTTTCGTGTGGAATTTGTATGTTATGTGCCTGAGTGGGAAGTCTGACCTCCTTAAACAGTTTGAGGACATATTTGTTAAACAATTAGTCATTTTCCCTCCTTGGTGTCATGTGCCTTGTTAGTGTTACAAGATCTCAGGTGTGAATGGGGACCACGTGTGTTAAATTTGGTTTTATTGCTCTCACATTCAAACTTGCTCAGTGTCATAGAGGCTGTCTTTAGAAAATAGATGTATTAGTGCTGCTAGCATTGCTTCAGAGGTTGAAGGGGTGGGGCGGTCAGCCTGTCAGTGCTCAGACCATACACTGCACAATGCATCACTGCATGCATTGGTCTGCATGGCTGTAGTCCCAGAAGGAAGCCTTTTCTAAAGATAATGCACAAGAAAGAGAAACAAGGCAAAAAACGTTTGCTGAAGACAAGCAGACTAAGGACATAGATTACTGTTGTCTGATGAGACCAAGATAAACTTATTTAGTTTCAGGTGGTGGGAACCAGGTGAATGGTCATGGTAGTGCTGCATGAGTGCTGCCGGCACTGGGGAGCTACAGTTCATTGAGGAAACCATGAACCTCGGGATGTAATTTTACATACTGACGTAAAGCATGATCTCCTCCCTTCGGAAACTAGGCTGCAGAGCAGTATTTAAACATGATAATGACCCCAAACAAACCCCTGAGATGACCACTGCCTTGCTCAATAAACTGAGGGTAAAGGGTCTTGACTGGCCAAGCATGTCTCCTTAAACCCTGTTGAGCATCAATTGGGGATGAGGGGAGGGAGACACGACAAAAGACACACGATACAGTGCAATATTTGCAAATCTCATAAATCCATATTTTATTGACAGCTGAATATAGAATATAAATATTTAAACTGAGAATATCTACCACTTTAAGAGAAACATTGGCACACTTTGAATTTGATGGAACCAACATGTCTCAAAATAACTGGGGCAAAAAAATTATATTTTGTAATTATTTAACACTTTATGTTAATTGTAATACAAAGTGCAATAATAGATCAGGATAAAAAAAAAATCATGAAACTAACTTCAGAAAAACCGAAAGTAAAATAAAGGCCATACAAAAAAGACAAGTCCAACAACATCATTATTAAGTCCTGTTAAGGTTGAAGACACTATAAAGGTGCAGAGCGTTTCCTGTTTGATTGTCTACATTGCGAATATGCAGTTCTCTGTGTTTTCCACTAGAGGAGGCTGTTGCATTTTAAAAGCTGAGTGATGCTCCTCACAAAGTGAGTGGAGAGACATCAACCTACATGTAAAACCAAACCGTTCAAAATCATCCTCACAAGAACTTTAAATTAATTTTACACTTTTGAATTGGCATATACTCAAATGATGCATTGGGCAGGAAAAAAAAGGAAAAAGCATATAGGATGTATGACCACGTATATGGGGGTCCATCTTAACCTCAGGCACAGACAATGCAAGAATCAGCCAATATACCTGTTCAATTAAATATTGATGTTTCAACAGATTTAAGCATGTTACCTATAAATCATTTAAATTATATGTACATATGTCAAAGATATTCAGAAAACATGCTTTTGCATTTTAGGGTTTTGAATGTAATTTCTTCTACCTAGAGAGTAAATCTTAAATGTAAATGAAATTGAGATTCACAGGAAGTTTAAAATGCAAATTACCTGCTACAGTTAATTTAACACTTTTTCACCAAACACATCAGAGATAAACTTGTTGTTGCTGCACAGAGATGCACTGGGCTTGTGCTGGGGGACAATGCCCCAGTCTCTGTGTTCTACCATCCTCTCCCTGCTATGATGATGTACTGTTAGACAATTGTAAATTTGTAGACTAAACTTAAAATATATTTATATTATTTTTCTGTTTTTTTGGGGTACCACGGTGGTTAGCACTGCTGCCGCACAGCAAGAAGGTCCTGAGTTAAATTCCACCATCAGGCCGGGGTCTTTCTGTGTGGAGTTTGCATGTTCTCCCCGTGTTTGCGTGGGTTCTCTCCGGGTACTCCGGCTTCCTCCCACCATCCAAAGACATGCAGTTTGTGGGGATAGGTTAATTGGATAATCCAAATTGCCACTAGGTGTGAATGTGCGAGTGAATGTGAATGGTTGTCTGTCCCTGTGTGTTGGCCCTGCGACAGACTGGCGACCTGTCCAGGGTGTACCCCGCCTCTCACCCTATGACAGCTGGGATTGGCTCCAGCGCCCCCGCGACCCTGAAAAGGATAAGCGGTAGCGAATGGATGTTTTTTGGGGTTTTTCTTTTTTTTTGGTTTGTAGCTTTTTAACAATCCCTGTGTGGCTAAATAATGTAATGATTTGCATGTTTACCTAACAAGTGAAGGACAAGGCACGACTCTACTGGGGTTCATGAAGGGGATCTAGCTTTCTCCATAACTCTAATATGATAACCTAATACTTTTTCTGTCAGTGTTATTCAAGACATTAATGTACATCCAGCTTGGAACATGATTTAGCTTAGGTCTTAGGTCTGTTAGGTCTTAGGTCTGTCAATAGGACAGTGGCCCTGTGCCCAAAAAAAAGGCCCACAAAGAAACGGCTTCCAAGTTTGGTGTGGAAAAACCTGACAGAGTGAAAGATGAAAACCCCTGACCTAACTCCATCCAGCATCTCTGGGGCTTATTTCTCCAGTGTTGTGGCTGAATCCCTGCAGCTGAGTTCTAAGATGTGCTGGAAGTAGAAAACAGGCTTTAAAAGCAGCAGATTCATGGCATGTAATGTTTGTTTGTTTGCCCACATACTTTTGTGATGCAATATTATAGAGCTGTTAGCAGCATTAAGCAGCTCATCAGTGATTCCTTTTTTTAATATTAATTTCATGTTTAAAAATAACTTAAAACATATTAAAACAATGAACCACTGTTAAGTTAACATGACTTCATTCCTCAGATGTAACTGCTGAACAATACTGTTTAAAGTGTGAATCCAGGTCTGCCTCGGGCAGCATAATTATGTGCTTGCTTACTGTAAATTAACTTGAATACATTTAAGAGAGTGGACTCAAGTCTCACGAGCTTTGCTCAACACTTTATTTGTTTTCCAAGTAACCATGGAAATGGTGTGCCAGGCTCTTGGAGAAAAACAGCTTATGGGCAACACTGGAGGCATTAGACCTTATTTACAGAGACAGAGATACAAATAAATACTAGAGAGGGTTTGCAGGGCACTGCTGCTGGAAATGATTTTTCTGTTCCGCTCTCACTCCAGCTTCATTCTTACTGTATGTATTTTTTTTCCACAAAAGTAATCCCAGCTGGCTGGTTTCTGCACTGCACATCAATGAAACCAGTCACCGAGTATCTACTGTGAATCATTACACAATTAGATTTGCTATGACTCAATATCACAAGTATAAAAGAACAAGCAGCCCACTGTTAGGTTCTGACTTTCATGGGGAAGCACATGCTAGTGATCACTTTATCCATGCTTGTAAAACTGTAGGTAATAAAACATAAACAAATGCACAACGGATTATATTAAATTTTAATGTGCACAGCGTGATATGGTACAGTAAAAGCAAGGAAGAAAAAAAAATCATTTCTTATACAAAAATATCACCTTCAGAGCTTTAAAAAAAACATCTCGATTTGATATTATCATCCCTGTGAAAAAACAGCAGGTAGACTAAAGGTGATATAGTCAAAGCGAGCTTAGTGTCTCAGTTAAACACAACCCTCTCTCCACCCCATTCTCACCCATCCACAAATTCACCCATCCTGGGGTGGGAGGTGTCGTTTTAATGCTATTTAGCATTGTGTCCACAGTCAAGAAGCAAGGCCACATAACAAAACTGTAGACAAAAAAAACAAAAAAAAGCAAACCGAAATGGGGAGTGGGCACATTTCACCAAACATTGTCTTTATTCCAATGCATTAACCTAAGTACCACAATATGTGAACATCTCCACACGAGCTCCTCACTGCACAGCGTTAATCTCCAGTGTGCAAAATTAACTGCTTGCACTCTGCTGTATTAGGAAATGGAGGAACATGGAGACTTTCATTAGTGCTGTTCACTACCAATACTTTTCTATAGATTAGTGCACTGGAATCATTTTGGAAGTCTTGTCTTATGAATAAACACCCACACAGTACATACAGGATATCAAAACAATGGCACTGTAATCAAGCCTCCTCAAGTTCTTCATTTTCATAGTGTAGAGAAAAAAACCTCATTCACTATGGAGCTATGATGATAAAACGTGGAGCCTGAATGAAAAATAAAAAGTCTAAATTTGTCTTACAAAACAAAACTAACAAAAGAGTAAAAAATCAAATCAGGTTCTGTAAGGTTCAGACATTCTCTGTCAGACTTGAGAAAATTCATTTGAGGCAGAGGCGAAGCAAAAAGCTGGTGTAGAGAGCGAGTGAGCGAAGATGCAGATAGCTTCAGTCAGGCTGTGTCACGGGTGCGGTGGACGGTGAGCTGCTGGCATGGCGGTGCAGGTACATGCAGAAACGGGGGCAGGTTCAGTGTGTCAGACTGCTGGAAAGCAGGGCAAAGAGGGGAGGGGTGGGAGGTCACTTTAGTGGGCGTGTGGGGCATAGGGAGGGGTGCTTCTGTGCTGCTGGATCTGTGTGGTTGTTCTTTTTTGCTGAGTCAGACAGAATTTGGCAGCGTTCACTCGTTCTCCCTGTTTGAACGTATGCAACCCCAGCATCCCCCCCCCTCCCGACTATCCTACTCTGCCCTACGGCTCCAAAAAACAAACATGAGCGTGAGAGGTTACAGCAGATGCTGACGTCCCCTCTTTGCACGGATCGATCCGTTTGAAAGGCTCTCTACAAAGAGTAAGAATGGAAGGAATTTACATGATGGAGCAAAATTAATAACAACATATGGAGCTTGGCTGCCTGCTTGACAAACTTAACAGTGAAAAATAAAAAAAAATACTAACGTAGACAGAAAAAGAAAAAACAGGAGAAAACAGCTGTTAGAAAAAGGTGGGGTTAGGTGCCATGTCACAGCACCCCTTTACCTCTAAACAACCACCCAGCCCCCACCCCACTCTGGAAAAGTCTCAACACATTTTCCATTTATTTTCTTCGTCTTCTTTCGGTTTTTTTGGTTGTTGTTGTTCTGACTCCCCTCCCATCTCCATTGCGCCCATTCTTCTGGCCCTCTTTTGAATCCTCCTCCTGATTTGGGATGCTACACCTCCTTGGTCATCCTGACTCGGATGCTGCTCAGGCACTTGCCCATGGCCTCGAAGAACGGGTCGCAGAAGGTGTGCACGCAGATAGAGAAGACGCGGCTGACGCAGTGGATCTCGATCAGGTAGCTCTTGACACACGGCACCACGGCCCAGATGTGCAGGAAGGACAGGATGGCAAAGAAAATTCCCCAGATCAACGCCAAGGGAATGCCCACCAGTGCCGTCAGCAGGCGGTAGCACCAGTACTTGGTGACAGTGAAGGTTGTGAAGCTGGCTTTCCACACACCGTCGAAGCTGTAGGTCCCTGCGGGTTCTGCAATCACATCTTCAAATTCAACCTAAGGAAGATGAAAGTAGACGAGTTAGAAATTGCTGGTAAAAACTTTGTATGAGAATACAAAGCTTTCGGTGAACTATCCCTGTGTGAAAAATGGAATTTTAAGACACAGAAAAACATATCAGCACTGCATTCAGCTGAAACTCAACACTCTGACTTGTTAAATACCTTCATCCCCTGCCAACAGAGTTTCACAAGAGTTCTGATATGGCGCAAATGAAACCACTATGGAAACTTTAACGCTGTCAAATCCAAGCTCATTATTTCCACACAAATCAACTTCACTCCCTGTTAATATGTCAGCTTCGCAGAGTTGGAGGGTGGGATTCTTGACAAGATTTATACCTCTCCTAGCAGGGACTGGTACGCAATCCAGCATCTGCCCCACCCAATACACTGACTGCACAAATGCTATCTCTGGTATCAGCTTCAATTTCTGAAAATCAGCCCAGGGGCTTTTTTCTCCCGTGCCTCCTACATTGGAAATGACCGGACACACAGAAAAAATAGGAAATGTTACTGGTAGATGAACTGTTGGGCTGTTGGGCTTCTGCTACATCCTCCATCTCCTGTTAGGTTTCTTTTTAATAGGAAACTCAATGCAAGTGTGCACAGGCTGATTGCTGGTGTTTAAAGAATGGAGGGAAAAGTGGCATCTCAATGCTTATTCAACCTACCTTCCTCTCCCGGTCAGCCTCTTCCTAGGCCTCTGAGCCCCAAATCAATATTTATTTTACAGTTACTTGGAGACTGTGTCATGTCAAAGTAGTTGGGCTACTGAGGGCTAATAGCTGCAATACCAATAAGTCAAGCAGATAATATCTAGTGTTACACTAACAATGAAATGGAAAAGTGAAGTGCTTCATTCCTAGGAGATGCACCATCTGGAAGATGTGACTCCTGCTTACACAAACTGTCTGACCTTGACCACTTTCAGATCTTACTAAAAAGTGATACAGATTTTCTGCAGTGTATTTATTACTCTATAGGGATATTTATTGATAATAGCAATAGTATATGTAACTGCCCTTAATCCAGAGCTGACAATATATAACCTTCTGGTAATTTTTAGATTTAAAAAAATACATATAGAAAGTTAGAGAGCTATACTGGTATAAGCTAAATAAATAATGCATTTCTTTGTCTCCTGTTTAAAGTAGCATGAAATAGAAATTTAGATCTAAAAAATAGCTCTCCTGCAACTCCTTCCTTCTATTTTCTACCAGTCAACTTGAAAATATTTATCCTCAAAAATCTTTTTAATATTTTCACTTTGCTTTTAATCTTCCCTTTTCTTGCCATTATTCTGTTACATGTAATGTAAATTTGCAGACTGTCAGCAATCGGTTAAGATTCGCCAATATAATAAGAATGTTCCAAGTGATTTAATATTATGTAATATTTTGTATTACAAATAATGTGATAACAGCAACCAGAGTGCAACTTTTATATAAAATCTGGAAAAAATAAACTGGATTGAAGATTCTAATTTTGCAACAGCATCCATACATCAGAAATCTGTAATATAATGCACGGCTCCAAATCACATACCAGTCACTGAAGTCCATAACAGTGAGTGTCTTAGGACTTCATGCCATGCTGTTATTCTTTATGTTGGGGTGAATGTAATATTTTTTACAGTCCTAGCAAAAGGACTCCTCACATCCAGCCTTTTTTTCTTGCCTTGAAACATCAGCTTGTAAGTCCAATTCTTTTATCCTGAAAGCAGCACAAAGCGTCTCTCACAACACCAACTGGCGAAGCTCACTACAGCCTTATAATATAAAACTGACTGCAGCCACAAAACCAGCCCGCCGTCCATTTAATTTTTCCACAGCTACAAATTTTAAAGTGGGCCAACTCGGCGCCAGTTTCCAGAACTTTGAGACTAAATGAGAGCCTTCTTCAGAGAGGCACAAACAACCACAGCAGGGTGGTGGGGAGTTCCTGACATAAAACGGTGCTCTTTGGTGTTTTTCCTGGGTTTTTTCTTCTTCTTCTTTTTTTTTAAAGTATTGTTATTCATTTGCAATTCTGAGGAAAGTTATCATTACTACCGTTGCTGTAATTCAGGAGAGGCTTCCTTTGTAAGCCACTCGAGTGTTAAGTGGGATTTTGGCAAGAATGCTGTTTGAATTCCGACTGTCCAAAAGTGATATGGGCATCCCTTATAGAAAACATCTGTTATCCAGTTATGTTAGGCAGTTTAATCTAATTATTTACATGTTTAAAGAAGGATTAGGGATTAGCAGTTCCTGAATGAAGAACATTAGTTCAATAAGCAAATAAGCAAGTCACATTAAGAAAATATCACTTTTGTGCTAAATAAAAAAGGGGACCTCCATTGAGAAGTTTGATATGAAACAATAGCGTCTCGAGACCAGTGTGTGACCAGTCAGCAAGGCAACTGTATTATTGAGTAAATAAGGTCATGTTCTATTTCTGGAGCTCTGTCTTAAGGCTGTCGACTATGCTTGAATAGACAAAGTGGGCTCCAGGAGAAGAAGGTCAGAGTGTAGTGCTCTACAGAACTATTTGCAGGGTTTTAGTGGTCAGTGTGTTTGATTTTAGGTGGCAGAACACAATGATTTACACACGACTTGTTTTGGATCAAAACACAAGCTTATACCACAATATAAAAGTGTCTTGGAATGATTATTGCTATTATTTGGCGCCACACGAGTAAAAATAAAACGGAATCTTTTGCATGTATTTATTGTCATAGCTCTACACGCTTTGTTAAATTTGCATGCCATTTGCACGGAAACAAATCTACACTGAGTTCAAAAAGGTTTTAATAGCGCCTGATGTCTCAGCCCACAGCGGAGTGCGCAGGCTAATAAAAAGCACAGACATTATCAAAGCAGGACATGTGAGCTTTACATACAACAAGATCCCATACCCAGAGGCATCTGTAATCAACTAAAAATCCCAGAATGAGGCAGATAAGTAAAAATACCACTAAGAGTGGACCAAAAATAGACTTTGCAGTCCTAGTGGGAGTGTTTCATTCCTTTCAGTTTTACCATAGAGACTTCAGATCTGCTGCCAGAGCTCAAACTTTTCACAACTCCCTCTAAAAAACTTTCTCCACTGGGGGCATTTTCAGTCTTCTCGTTGCTGGGCCTAAGCTCCTCCTCTCCCATATAAAATCCCACAACTCCTCCAAATGGAAAAAAAAAATCATTGCAGGAGAAACTCCAAACGCATGGCAGTAATGGAACTTGTTTGATGTGGCCAGGTGATTGAGGCCAGCTGCAGCAGCAACAGGAGTGCACCTTTGATTATAAGAATGCAGTGTTTGTGTGTTTGCGTCTGTGTGCTATCTAAGCAGTGTGTTTGAATGCGTGCTTTACAGATTTATATGGTAGTCCGGCATTTGAGGGTTGCGTGTGGTCATGGTGGATTGCAGAGCGAGCGTCGCTGGAAGGGATTCCCTGCTTGTGTGTTTCATCGGGGCATACTGAATGCACGCTTCCACTTGGCTGAGCTGTTTCACTGACCTCAAAGCACCTCAGAGCTGCTGTATACAGCACACTGTACAAACTTATCAGTGTTTACTCTCAAAATCCAGAGGGAGGCGATGAGTACCTAAGGGCCTCTCGTTATAAAATATACCCAGAGGCTTCTCTGTTGGGATTTATTAACTCAATATGAAAGTCTTTTTTTTAAGTATAATTTATTACAAAGAAGGATTCTGATACTGTCTCTATGTCGCAAGAAGACAAGGTATTAAGTATTACTATCAGTTTACGTTGTATTATTAGTAAACATCTATTACTACCAATAGATGTTTACTACTGCTAGTTAAAAGCTGAACGGTTTCAGGCGTCTTACGTTAAACGCTGCCTATAGCATGTTCATTTTTACAGTGTATGCACATGTGTTGTCAGGTCATTTCAGCAGCAGTCTGTTGGCTTGATTAGCGAGGGGTGGGACAATCGTGAAGCTGCATTCTATTCTGAGACTGGAAGGAGAGTCTGACTCACTGTCACAATGGAAGAGAGCAGGGAGAGAGCAGCCAGAGAGTGGTGGAAGAAGTTGGGATAGAAGCAGCAAACAGGAAAACTAGAGAATGAGAGTCTTTTTCTTTCCAAACCCAGCAACAAATATTTTGTAAAAGTGTTTTCATACAAACATGTGAATTCATCGTGTTCATGGCACATTTTATATAGACTTGTGCGTCATATGGGAAAAATGCACAAACTGGCAGTAACACACATGCCTCTCAGACAGTGATAAACTCCATAAAAACGAAGTGTTTTCAAATATTTAACGAGAAATAGAAGACAAAATGTACTTTTTGGGCAGGTTGTATGTGAAACGAGTGTCATGTAATAACAGAAAATTAAATGAGCACAACATTTTTAATGGATTCCTTGTATATGTGTATTATGGTTGTTTTAATCAAAATGCTCTGTCAGTATGTTTTCATCAGTCAATTTGGCAGGGGATGAAACTTTACCACATTTATATATTCTTTAAAGAGAAAGGTTATATTCAGTAGTTATGGTCTGATTAGTTACATCAGCAGCGACAGGCACTCATTTCTACTGAAAACCTTGTATTTGCCAACAAAAAGAAACAAATGGACTCACTCCTCTGACGCAACTATAGGCATGCGGGGAGGAAACGGAGGGGGCAGTGGCAGAATGGGAGGAAAGAAGGGAGGATAAGGAGTGGTGAGGGATCCCCTCATACTAATCGCCCACTTGGGTGTTTCCCTGTTTTAACAAGGCAGAGTTCAGGCATTTCAAAGATCTGACCCTTCCTGAACACGCAGGGAGCTGCTTGACCCCACTCTGATGTAGCCAGATGCACCAGCTGGAGAGGAGCACAGCCGGGCGCACACGGCTGCTGCTCCTCTCTCCCACACAGATGAATCAGGTGGCTTGCAGCGCACCACTCCTTTGCCGCTATAACATCTCTCCCTGTGCTTTTAACAAAAATAAGTACTGAGTATTTATCCGGCGAGACTTCTCTGTTATGGACAGAATTTTACTTTCCCATTAGACAGGCGTGTGCAGCGAGGACTGTGGGAAATGTGTGTTCCAACAACAGGAAATAGGTTATATTTCCTCTGTTGGAGCGAAGTTGGGACGTTCACGTTTCAAGCCCACTCCACACAAGGGGACTGCATGCCATTGTATCGCTGCAGCTCAATGATCTTTAATACGTTTGCAAAGCTTCTTCCTAATAGGGGAAGACACTGAGTGGTAACACTGACACGGCGCATAGCAAAGGTGCGCAAAACTGCATGCGTGTCCGACGCGCAGATAACTTGTTTGACAGCTCATAGAAATAAAATGGACATCGTTTATTAGAGATTATTTCAGTTTGCAGCGCCTGTGATACAGGTAAACCCTGTGTAAACTCGGGAACAGGTGGTTTCGGTTGCCATGGACGAAAACATAAAGTTCAGAAGTTACCAGTCTTTGAAGTTTAACTCACCTTAACAACGTCGTCGTTTATGTGTTTGGGATCCCGGTTGACCAGATCGATCTCTTTGGTGTGGACATCCTCCATCGTTTTCTCGTTCAGACTGTCGTTGTCCATGTCTTTGTTGTTGGGTTTATATATGTTCCCTTGTTTTCGGATAAACGGCGAATGTAGAAACTCCTGCAAAGAGCCGGGGGAGACAGAAGGAGAAGAGGGTGAAGAGGAGAAGGAATAGTGTGTAGCGCGCTGAGAGAGAGAGCGACTGGAGCTGCAAGTTACCAGGCTTCCCCACAAACAGGGATGGGTTTAAGTGAATAGAAAGTAAAGTACCACACCCCTTCATCCAGCCGCAAGGGGTCCTCACCACCCAGACACTAATCCAGTATGTTAACATGACATACAGTTGATTCAACGTGTTGTCTACCCATGGCAATGGAAACACTTTTAAGAAACGTGCAAAGGCGTTATTTTTTTAAATATGAACGAATCTCCAATTAATACTCTTCCTACACGAAAAATATATATTTAGAAAGTAAAGAAAATCACGAATTCAGTTATATTTGCAATGTCATTTGTAATATGTTCACATTACGTATGCAAAAACTTCATTTAAAATGCGTAAAGACCCCTTTGGCTTCTATGAGCCTCCTCAATCCTACGAGTCAAGCACCTTATGTTATTACGCACACCACACGACTTCAGTTGGCATTAAAGGACAGGGGAGATTTGTGACTGAAATTCAGAATTTTACGGTAAAAAAAAATGGATTTGTTTCCCCCTTGTATAACGCATGGAAATGTACAGTTTAAACGTTTGTGCGTAAATAATCGGTTACTGTGCTGAAAGAGGACCTAACAGGTAAAATCCTCACACCCACATTCTAATGTAAACTGCATCGACCTTCGCATTCTCTTAGCCTGTGTGGGAGAAGTGCTCATGACTGGGTGCCAGAGCGCAAGATAAGGACAGAAACATAGCGCACTCTTTTCCCCCTCGTGAACGCATTCTTTTCTTTTTTTTTTCTCTTTTTTTGAGGGGGGGGGGGATAATCAGCTTCTGTAAGAAAAGTAAATGTCAGCTACAAACAAACAACCACAAATTAAAAGAACTACAGCTGAGAGCTATACTGTACCTCTTCTGTCTCGCCGTCCTTCGGTCCTCCTGTCATGCTGTCCTCACGTTTGGAGAGATTAGCACGTTGAAACAGACAAAAAAAAGATAATATAGGAAGCAGAGAGGGAGGCGTGGATGCAAACTGGGAGGACGGGGTCTTTCTCTCAGAGTCCTGTATAGTGAAGTTATTCCTGCCCTTTTTGTTGGACGTGACTAAAATTCAGTGGACAAGCGCGTACGGGGAAACCTCCAGTGTTTCCTCGGATACCGCAGAGCGCAGCTGGGGAGTCACCAGTGAGCAGACAGGAGAGCCACCCTGGAACCTGCTCGGCTGGAGGAGAGACTGACGTGATCTCAGACTGAAAGGGTGTTTGTAGCCGGCATGGAATTTCATATTTAGGGATCACAGCAGAGTATAATAAGTTTTTTGTTCAGTGAAACGTGGGAGTTAATTGAACCTGGCAAGGTGTGGACACTTGCCATACCTTAGCCTACGGGGAAAAATCCAAGTGGTTATAATGGATAGAGGGAAGAAAGAAATATGTAGTTCAGCTATTTCAGCACATCTAAAGTCACGCCTGTCATCAGCTGCTTCATAAGATCACATTTATATTTTGGTTAGTGAACCCAGTTTTTCAAGGTGTCAGCTTCATCAGGTTTTGAAGTCGTGCTGGCCACTCTGGTCTGTTTACATTCTTGTGTCAGCTCATCGTGGAGAGACGCCAGCTGGCACCTTGCTGTTTTCAGCCAGAGGGACTGCAATAGAAACAAATTTTAGGTGCGTCTCACTGGCGTGTCAATAAAAGAAACGGATTGGCACAATGATGAAGTTGTTTTTACATTTTTCAAAGCTCTCATTTGCTTTTAGTTTTAGAGCAACATGCACAGAGATGTCAGCTCTTGCCTTCCTCAGTGTGAAAGCTTATCTCAGTTCAAGGAAGAGTAACTCCTCTTTGCTGTTTATTTTGAGGAGCACCTTATTTCTTATTAACTCTGGGCTATTCATTTACTATCTTTATCCTGTAATTATTCTGTTATTTAATTTAAACACTTTGCTATCTACTCTATCTCCAGGAACTTCATTTCAATTGTTTATTGATGATTGTAGCGCCAATAAACTATTACAAACAAAACTGGTGTGCATTTGTTTGTGATAGCAACATGAATGAACTTAAGGAGCAAGAAAGAAAATAATACAAATTAATAAAAATTAAAACCATTTTTAATTCATTGAAAGTTATCTATAAACAAGGGAGGCAAAAATGATTAAAGTAGATGAGTAATTGGGAAAAATGGATGAATATTTTCTCGTAATTAAACAATTGTATTAATAACAGTAATAGCTAATAGTATCTCCACACAGTGGAAGTAGGTAAAGTGATGAATGATTAAAACTAAAGGCTAAAAGCTATTGATGAATTATTACAAGACCTAACCATTACTGAAAAATTATTAGTTGAACATAATAGCTGAGAAAATATTGCTGTGTGGCTTTATTGCTGAGAATCATAACACGAGGAATGAACAAAGGGAGAAACCTAACTTTGAGACACAGGAGAAAGAAACACACAGTTTGGCAGAAGACAAAGGGAAAGCCAGGCAACTTACACACCAGGTAATTACGGAGATAGGAAACACCAGGAAACACAGCTGAATGGAATCTAAGGAGACAATGGGAAGCTTAACTAACACAACCTACAGGAGATGAGTGACAATCAGAATAAAGCAGGAAGCAACAAACACTGAGACCAACACATGTGAACTTCACACAGCGGCAGGAGATAACTGCAGAGACATGACTGACTGAGGAGAAAGGGAACACAAAAGATGATAACAAAAGATGACATAATCTTATGAGAAACACAGACTGGAAAGAAAGGGAAACTAAGAAGCACAAGGAAACATTATGCTGAAAGGACTGGATGCAAGAACAAAATCCAAAACAAAACAAACTCACAGAAAACTCAAAACATGCCAAAACTCAAAACGCTGGAACCATGACAAATATATACTGTAAGCTGAAAATATTTCAGAATCCCACAGTCATGTCTGTCCCATTTGTAGCAACTGAAAATAAAATAAATTCATAATTATAATAAAGGTCAATCAAATGGACCAATATGGCAAGGCCATGATGATCCACTTGGTAAAATAAATCCGCTTGGCATCTTTCTTGGCCTTAAGACAACAATTCTGATGGCTAAAGATCCAAACGGGACACAAAAAAAAAAAAAAAAAAAAAAAAAAAGAAAATATTACAGAAATGTTTAAAATGCATTTAGAGGTTAAATAGTATAAGCATATGTCTAAATTGTTGAAAAGGCTAAAAGTAATGCATAAATGCTCAAATCTGTATGGAAGTGAATAAATAGCTTTGACCAAACTCACCAGTGACAATTTGATTGTTTTCCTCAACATTTCAATGAGCAGGTGTATAAACTTCTTCAATAAATTCAAGTGGAATGAGTTCAAGTGGACACGTTTGAACATGGCGCCATGTAGGGATACAGGACTGTGTTGGTTCCAGTTTAATACAATTACAGTAAAGTGCAGACGTATAATGTCATACAAGACACCAAATAAAATTATTTTTAAAAACCTGAAGCACTAATGTTTCCTTTTTTTTTTTTTTTTTTTTTTACTTTGATTTTTATTAGGTTATTTTGACATTGTGGACATACAGTAAAGAAAATAACAAACAGACATACATATAAACAAACATAGAGTCTGGAGTTTACATATCTTTCTCCATTTATCACATTGCAGAAAAAAAATAAAGAAAACCTATTATGTTATTTCATTTGTGTCACTTCTGAATGTTTTCCACTTCCTCCATAGTCTGTCGTATTTACCTCCCATCAGTCTAATGTTGAGTGTTATTTTTTCCATCTCTGAGATATCCTCTACAATACTGATCCAATCCCGCTGGGTGGGAGGATCTGGATGTAACCACTTCTTTGTAATTGCTTTTTTTGTTGCGGCCAGAATTATTTTGACTAAATACACGTCCTCTTTTTGTATGTATTCTTTTATGTTTCCTAGATACATCACTTGGCAAGTATTTGGGAATGTATAACTCAAAATATTATCCATATTCATTTTTAAGTCTTCCCAATACTTTTTAATTTTAATGCATTTCCAGAATACATGAGAGTGATCTGCTTCCATTTCTCCACACAATCTCCAACAATTTTGTAAACTTGAGGTCAGTTTGCTTTTTATTTTGGGTGTAATGAAAAAACGTGTCAAATTTTTCCAACAAAATTCCCTCCACAACGGCGAATTAGTTGTACTGTGTTGCAATTCACACATATTGAGCCATTCTTTCTCTGTTATTTTTATGGTCAGTTCAACTTCCCATTTCTTTTTAATATAGAGTGTTGAATCTTGTCTATTTTCTTCTAATGACCTATAGAAGGTGGAAATAGTTTTAAATTGTTTATGTTCATAGCAATCTTTTACTTTTCCGACAACCCCCAGTGGTTTCCCAAGCCAGTCAGATTTTATTTGTTTTGCGTAGTAGTCCCTAACTTGCAAATATCTAAAGAAATCTCTATTTTCCAATTTGTATTTGTTTTTTAGTTGTTGGAAACTCATTAGTCCTCTGTTTTTCATAAGGGTACAAACTGCTGTAATCCCTTTTAGTTCCCACTGTTTGAATGTTTGGTCCAATTGTCCTGCCTTGAAATTTTTATCATGTCTAAACCATCTGAGTATAAATAATTGTTCTTTTAACTGACATTTTTCTATTACTGTGTGCCATATGTCTAATGTAAATTTCACAATTTGATTCATTCCACTTTTATTCTTTGTCATTAAATGTTTGTCAGAGATAAAAATCTGAATGTTGTTTCCCTCGATTTCTTTCTCAATTTCCTTCCATCTTGCCTCATATTCTGGTCTACACCAACCAGCAAGTGGTCTGAGTTGGGCTGCATAGAAGTATTCCCTTAGGTTCGGCAAGGCCATCCCTCCCTTGCGCTTCGGGAGTTGCAGTGTTGTTAGTCTTATTCTGGGCTTCTTCCCACCCCAAATAAACCTTGATATCATCTTGTCCCATATTTTGAATTTTTTTTGAGATATAGGAAGTGGGAGTGACTGAAACATGTATAACAGTCTTGGGAGAACATTCATCTTTATTATTTGGATTCTTGAGTAGAAGTTTGTAGGTGTTGCCGACCACCGTTCTAGATCTTTTCTAATGTTGCCCTCCACCTGATTATAGTTTATGTCCGCCATATCTGATAATGATTTTGTCAAGGTTACGCCCAAATATTTCATGTTGTTAGCACTAATGTTTCCTTAGCGCATAATGTTAAGATAAAAGAGTGCACCAATGAAGGTTTTGTAGACTTCAGTTGTTTGCATTTTGCTTCATTGTCTCTGCAGAAGAACAAGTCTTGTGTAGGCATCATTTTTCTTCTTGCTTTCATTTATTATGAAGTACTGTAATGCTTTTTCTTTTTCTTTTTTAGAAAGCTATTCTATGAATAAACACCTGGTTAGCCTCCTTGAGTTCACTGGGTGTGGCACTGAAGTGAGATCAAAATAACCAAATGAGCACCTGCTTCAAACAAAGATGTTACTTTGCTGAAGCCTGGAAGAAAAGCTTACACAATCTGCTACTAACACTGTGGAAAATATTAGCAAATTTAAGTAACATTTGTGCAAATGAGATTGCACATTGTGCACTAGCATGACTTTGTTTATGTAAGCTGAGGTGCAAAAAACATTGTGAACTGTGGCAAATTTCAGATGATGCAGTTTAAGTTGATGCTGAGAATATTAAAAACACTTAATTGCCACTCAGAACACTGAGAAGACAGAATCTCAAACAACTCATCCAGCACCAGTGCCAGAGGTAAAAAGTCATGAGGATATGGAATAGGAACTGGATTCAGTACACATTAGTGTCAATTGCTTAGAAATTACAAGCAAACTTATTATAATTTGCATTTGCGCAAAATTAAGTGGAAACAATACTAATAGACATTGTTGAGTATCAGGACGGAGTTAACTGTGATAGGAGAATAAACAGCCATAAGGGTATCAGGTTAATGCAGGATCATTTTTTAAATTATTGCTTTTTTAAACATATATGAAATGAAATTTTTTACATTGCATGATATGCATAGGGCAGCAACAGCAGTGTGGTGCTTAGCACCATTACCTCAGAACAAAGAAGGTCCTGGGTTCAAATCCAACAGCCAGGTGGGGCTTTTCTGTGTGCAGTATGCATGTTCAACTCCATATGTCCCTGTGGATTTTCTTCTGGGTGCTCTAGCTTCCTTCCAGAGTCCAGACAAATGCAATAAGTGGTTGTAGTTGTGGATATGAGCATCAGTGCTTATCTGTCTTTACACTGC